CGATGACGGCGAAATTGCACACCACAACGCGATGGCAAACTTGCCCCCCCCTGGTTCCCGACTAAACCTGCCGACGGCGACGGCGGCGGGTAGCAGTGAACAGATAGGGCAGGCTCAAACATTGGGGCTGATTGTGTTTGGAACGGTATTCCAAAATCTAGGGGTGAATGCTTTTGGAACGTCATTCCAAAACCTGGGGATGAATGTGTTTGGAACGCTATTCCAAAATCTATGGCTTCAACCTCAGCCTTCCAGGACGTCCTGGAGCACCCCATTCCGCTGGACCGCCCAGGGGCCCACGAAAGTGGCGACAGCTGCGCAGTTCGCAGCTTCCAGGAACGGCGAGGTCCCATTCTGATCGCCGTGGGACATAACTCCGCTGGACCTCCATATGGCTTACGATACTGGCGACAGTTTCGCAATTCGCAGCCCCCACGGAAGAGATGCAAGAGGCAGGACGACGATGACATAGAGGAGGGAGGAAGGGGAAAGAGGAGGACGAGGGGTCTTGGAGACCGCAGTGTTCATACGCTCTCCTGGGCGCGAAAAAGACGAGGCGAGCCCGGAAACATAGCTGACCTGAAACAGAGGCACTCATTGGCGAAGATGTCTCACACAAATGCGGATGCACAGCCCTGCCCAGGCATCCCAAGCTGATCCCGCGATCCTGATGCGACCCCGCGATGACTCCAAGCTGACCCCAATAGCTGACGGATGACGGCGACGAGTGGGGGTGGGCGATCCACCCAGAGGGCGGAGTCTGAAGCGCGGACAGAGTCTGAACCCAACGATCCTGGCATATCATCATCATCATCATCATCATCATCATCATCATCATCATCATCATCATCATCATCATCATCATCATCATCATCATCATCATCATCATCATCATCGGCATCATCGTAACCATCATCACCACCACCAACACGTTTTCAATCGTCTTCATCATCATCACCACCAACATCATCATCATCATCATCATCATCATCATCATCATCATCATCATCAATATCATCATCATTATCCAGCTCCTCCTCCTCCTTATCATGATCATCATCTCCCCATCGTCCTCGTCCTCCTCCTCCTCCGGATCAACAACATCGCCATCACCATCGTCATCACCACCACATGCATTAGAAACATCAACATCACTATTATCATCAGCAGAGTCATTATCATCAGCAGCCGGAGCACCACCAGCATTGTCGATCAACATCATCATCATCATCATCACCACCACCATCTGCATCGTCATCAACACCAAAATCATCAACAATCTCAACCACCATCGTCAGCTTTATCATCATCATCATCATCATCATCCTCATCATCATCTTCATCATCATCACAATCATCTTTGTCGTCGCCGTCCCGCATACTCATCAGTATCGCCATCACCATCATCATCAGCATCCCCATGATCATCCTCACCACCCTGCACACAATCATCGCTATCAGCATCGCAATCGTCGTCATCAGCATCAGCAGCATCATCGTCCCCGCCAACGTCATCATCAACATCCTCAGATTTAGCATCACCACCAGCAGAACATTCAGCATCATCATCAGCATCAGCAGCATCATCATCATCAGCAGCAGCAGCATCATCAGCAGCATCAACATCACCATCATCAGCAGCATCAGTTTCATATTTCCCACCGTCATCACCATCAGCACCATCATCGTTAGCATTATCAACACCATCAGCAGCATCATCGTCATCATCATCATAAGCATCGTCAGCATCGCCACCTTCACCATCGTCATCATCATCAGCATCAGCAAAATCCTCATCATCGGTACCACCATCACCATAATCAGCAGCATAATCGAAATCATCGTGAGCATCAGCATCATCACCATCATCATCATTAAGCATGATCTTCATCATCATCCTCATCATCAGCAGCAGCAACATCGTCATAGTCGTCATCATCATCATCATCATCATCATCATCAGCAGCAGCAACACCATCGTCATCATCAGCATCGTCAACAAGAACATCGCCTCCGTAGTCGCCTTGCCTCCTCAGTGCTGAGGCCCGTGCTGCCTTGCTGGTGGCTTGAGTCGCTCTCCAGTCACCTGTGGCCGTCACACCCGCGCGTGGGGTGCAGAAACAGCAGGTGCGCTGGAAAATCGGGCAACCGTTGCGGCTGCACCGCGTGCCTGCGGCCCCTTGTCAGAGCCCAACAACGTGCTGGTTGTTCATCTCCTGTCCTCCTACTACACGCGCCACCTCCAATACCAGCGTTGCTGCAACAGCGGAGGTGGGGCTCGCTATCTTTGTCTAGGTTCGTCTCCTCCTTCCACGAGGTACGCACGGTTTCCAATCGTGCCGAGTGGGAAGCCATTCTTGGATCGGGTTGTGTGCGCGTGCTATCCCCCGAGGAGTCTCGACTCGCCCGTCGCAAGTTTCCCGACCGGACTCTCTCATCGAGGATGGCTCGCAGGATGAAGCCTCAGGAGGGGGTGAGGGCCCCTCCCAAGGCCAAGAGCCGTTGGTGCGCCACGGTCACTAGGACCCTGATACCGATGCAGTCTTCGTCTACGCTCCGATCCCCCAGTCCGAAAGCAGAATGATGACGCGACGAAGTGGCGCCTCCACGTGGCAGACGCCAAGAACGCGTTCTGTCAGAGAGACCGTTTAAGAAGACCCAATGGAGCCATCTTTGTGGAGCCATGCCAAGGCCTGGAGCTTGGTTCAGAACAACCTATCAAGCTCATAGCACTGGTTTACGGCTTGAACGACGCGCCCCTGCTCAGGCATCGCACTTTGACTGATTGGCTGGGCAGCCAAGATTTCACCGAGTATCTCCTCGAGCCCTGTCTGTGGCTTCAGCGCGGGGCCCTCGGTCGTCTGGAGGCGCTGGTGTTGATATAAGTGGATGACCTGATTGTCTCTGGCGAGAACCAGGCGATCAAGGCTCTTCGTCTCGCTCTGTGCAAGCGCTTTCAGTTTGGAAAGTGGAAGGAGAGACCGAGTCCGAATATAATGGGAGAACGGTGCTTCAGCTCCGAGACAATATCACGATCGATCAGGATATAATAAATACATTAGTGAATTGCTTTCAGTGATGGGTTTGGACCCTGATACACAACCGATCCAGAAAGTCCGAGCTCGGCTCCGCACTTCCTATGGACGAGATCGCTGCTTATCGAGCCGTAGTGGCACAAGTTCAATGGCTGGCCCGCGAGAGCCGTCCCGACTTGGCGGGCAGTGCATCTCCGTTGGCTGCCGAGATGCCTTCCCCTTACGATTCTGACGCTCTGACTTGAATCAACGTCTGCCAATATCTGAGAGGTTCCTGTGAGCGAAAACTCACCCTCAGCGATGCCTGGAGTCCCGATACCGATCGCCGGGGTAGGGCCCAAGGGGCCTGAATGGTGATGCTGGCTGACGGGAGCATCTGCGAAAACAAACGGTCCCGAAATGATGCTCTAGCGCGAAGGACTCAGCGTATGAGGAGGGCTGTTGCGACCAGCGTTGCGGCGGAGGTCGTAGCTCTGTCGGCCTCGAGGGTCGAAGCTCAGTGGTCGTGGAGAGTCCGTCGTTCGAGGACGTTGAGAAACCCCACTGGCATGGTAGTCTGGCGCCACTTACGGTTGTGTCAGCTCGAGACTGCAAGCTCAGTGAAGCGGCCTCAGGACTGGCCATCGCTGATGCCAGGTCAGTCTTCGGTACCATCCCTCGGCGCTCCGCGGGGTCCAAGGCGGATCGGTGAAATTCCATTGAGTTGGCTGTTGTGCGTGATTCTCTTAGCGCAGTCGGCTCCCAAATTAGATGAATGCCGCACGCTCGTATGCCAGCTGATCCCTTGACGAAAATTTACCCCAGCAAGGACAATTGGCCGTTCACGATCTCCCGAGTCGAGCTACTCTTTGGCCACTGGACGAGCATGGACATTTAAATGAACGCTCGCTCAACGAGAGCTTGAAAAGCCGGTCTAGGGGAGCCAGCGGATACCATCTTGTCGGCTCTCGCGAATCGACGCTTATCGATGCTAAATCGACGCTCACAGACGCTAATTCGGCGCTATCTCATCCACTCCCAGACGCTCTACTCGACGCTAAAGACAGAACTTAGAGGGTATAGCAGGCTCCCCCGATTTGTCATCGGACCCAACCATCTCCCTCCCTCCCTCCCTCCCCGGAAGCCTCGAAGGACCACCCACCCGCCCAGGGCTCCGCGCAGGGGGCCCCGCCCTGGCCGACCGCCCACGGGGTCCGAGAAGGCTCCGAAGCTGCACAGGATCGCCAGTCCCGCTGTCGACCCACCTCCCGTGCAGTGAGGGCCCGACAACACGAAACCTTCCTTAAGAGACCCAGCCCTGAGACCCCATGCTTGGTGAGGGAACGTCCAGCGCCCTTCCATGGCAAAACCATCGAAACGCAAGTAGTCCAGGGCACCCTGGGGGGCAAGCAGGGTGTTTCTTGGCATGGGCCTCCTCTGTAACCCGTACACGGTCATGGAAGACCGCATCACCCTGCCGTGGGATCATTCCCCAAAGGCGGCACCTGAGGGCATGCCTCGCCGCCTCGAGGAGCTCCGCCGCCCTGCCCCCTCCGTCCTTGAAGAGCAACGGAAGGGAGGAGAGACCCGACCAGGCGGGGCAAGATCGGGCTGAAATCGGCGACACAGCGCCGACAGATCGGCGGTAGGCCCCCGATAGCGAAGCCGAACGGCCCTGGGTGGGGTGGAGCTATCGGGCCCCATCGGCGATCAGCGGGCAGAAAGGGTCGATGTACCGCCTCTTTTGCACGCCCGAGATGGGTACGGAAGAAATGTGTACGATGCCCAACACCAAAAGTTGCCCAAAACCGTTCGGCAGGCGGCATTCTGCCTCAAATGAACAACGTCCGCGGCGACACCGACAGCAAGTCCAGCTCGAAGTGCACAGAAGATGCTGCCGGTCTTTGTGCCAAGTTCCTTCCGTGCTCACTTCGACCGCCCCCGACCTCTGACGTTGCCAGTGCACCCCCCTCCCCCTCGCGGGGCCAGGTACGGCTTCGACATCGCCGCCGTGGCGGCCCCCGTTGCGTCCTCGCCCGGGGCGGGCAGGCCGCCGCCGCAGCCGCCGCCGCTGGCGCCTGGAGGAGAGCGCCGCCGCACCGCCGGGGAGGACCGGCGCGTGGCTGGCGGCCCGGCCAGGACGGGCCACGGGCGGGCGGGCAGGGGCGGGCCGGTGACGCCGTCGTCGCCGCCGCCATGGCATGCGAGCGGGCAGGCCATGGCAGGCGATGGCAACGGTAGCAGGCAAGCAGGCAGGCGTGCCGACCCGCAAGCAGGCGTGCAGCCAGGCAGGCAGACCAGGAGCAGTGGAAGCACGCAAGCCGGAGCAAGAAGGCATACAAGCGAGCACGCGAGTAAGCAAGGACACGCACAAACAAGCACACAAACACATCAACACATAAACAAACAAGTAAACCCGAAAGCACGCAAGCAAGCAGGCAGGCAGGCGAGCACGCAAACACGCACGCAAGCGGCCAAGTACGCACCCAAGCAAGCACGCACACAAGCAAGCACGCCCATGGGCAAGCTAGCAGCAGGTAACCAAGCAAGCTGACGCCAAGCAGCATGCGCGCATCCGCATGTGAAATCCCAATATGCAAGCAACTAGCATGAGCAACTGACATGCGCGACAAGGGCGAATATGGTCGCACGGCGGTTGCACCGAGGTCACAGACTTCTAGGAGGTATTCCTCTTATTTTGTGATAGCAGGGGAGTCCCAACAAACACGGTGAGGGGCAGGTGACTTTGTAAGTATGAGTATCGCCTGAAAGCTCTAAACGCTGGGGATTGTCAAACTGCGCTCGCCGCAATGAAACAGGAATCGCTGTCAGAGTGACTTCTGGGGAGAGGGGGCTTGGACCAGCTTACTAGGTTTACTCGATCCTCCTCCTCCTCCTCCTCCTCCTCCTCCTCCTCCTCCTCCTCCTCCTCCTCCCTTCCTCCTCCCTAGGCCGTCGGCGCGACACATCACGTACACCCGCACCACTACCGACGCGCAGGAGCACACACCGACACGACCACACAGGGGTCAGCAGCTGCAATAGCCAGACCTTACCGACAGGCTCCAAAAACTTATGCTGGCCACGAGGGTTCCAGAAGTTGCCTCCACAATACCGGCTTGGACAAACAAACAAGCTACGCTGTCACGGAACAAACATACACTGTGCCCGAAAATACGCTTACGACATTCAGGACACAGACTGTGTATGCGGTCCCATCTCGCCCACACCCACCTCCAGTTCTTACTACTAAGGTCTCATCCTCACTCCAACTACCTACAATAAACTCAGGAAAGTACGACCAGAGATAAGGTGTACAACGGGATGGGCAAGAGAGATATACTCAGGCTAACCAGGGCGAAACCACCCCCCCAAGACCCGTAGCCATTTTCTTCCCTTTTCAATGATCCATACGACGTGACAGCCAGCCAGCTCACCTCAGAGATCAGGCGGTCAATGGAGACTTCCCAACCGAGAGGACCAACGGCCTGGGCAGCGGCAGCGGCACAGGATGCAGCAGCAGACGCACAAGCGCACGCACTGCATCCAACGGCAGCCGCAGACCAGCCCGAGCAGCAGCCAACCGTGATCCAGAAGGCGCACGACCGCGGAGGTCACAGGGCACCCGACCAGATCTTCGGATCAATGGCTTACCGCCTGGAGATAGGCCACCGCAGCCTCCAGTCGACCAGCGACGTCTTCGAGGGGATCGCGAAGAGCAGCGATACCGCCCTCTACACCCTGCACAGGCAGCGCGAGAGGATCACGATGACGCTGGGCAGGCGCTCAACAGCGGCAAGTCGTTGAACCCGCACGAGGAGATGGAACGCAGCCAGGTCGTGATCAGCATCAAGGGGCAGCTGACGGACATCCAGCAGGCGATCACTGCAGCAAGGAGCCTTCACGCTACGACCAGCCATCGCCGTGGGAGGATCATGCAGGGCCCGGTGCCATGGGAGCTGGACTACACCAGGCGCCAATGCGACGAGCTCGAGGGCGTGTACACACGCTGGACCAAGAGCGATCACGGGTACGGCTACGACGAGGACGCCTACCAGGCCGGCACCGAGCAGCCGAGCACGCCAGCCGCCAAACAGCTCCTCGAGCCGAGCATGAGGCCGCCATGCCGGAGCCCCAGCAAAAGCGTCCAGGGCTGGCGGCAGCCAGCGATTGCGATCGCCCAGCAGCAGCCGCACCACCACCACCACCACCAGCAGAGCCAGCAGAGCCCTTAGACAGCACAGAGAGCGGGGGACACTCGTCGCACTTCGCCGAGAGCTGCGGCAGCCGCGGGCTGGGGGCTCGGCACGATGTCGTGAGCAGCGACCGCAGGCAGCCCTCAAGGTTGGGACATACGTCTCACGTCGCCGAGGGCTGCTGCGGCTGCAGGGTAGGGGGCTCGGCGTGATCAGTGAGCCACCACAGCCTTGTCATTCCATATTTCTCTCTTAGGGCGCCTAGAGGCGGGGACAACTGTCTCACGTCGCCGAGGGCTGCTGCGGCTGCAGGATGGGGGGCTCGGTACCATGTCGTGATCAGTGACCGCAGGCAGTCCAGAGAGAGGGGGGCATTCGCCCCCACGATGCAGAGGGCTGCTGCGGCCACAGGCTTCTGCGGCTGCAGGGTGAGAGCTCAGCATGACGTGAGCAGCGAGCCACCAAGGCCTCGCCATTACATCTTTCATTGCCTTGTCAGAGCGCCTAGAGGTGGTCACGTTCGCCTCACGTCGCCAGCGAGGGGGCTCGGCATGATGCAGCGAACAGCGACCGCAGGCAGTCCATAGAGCATAGAGGTGGGGGACATTCGCCTCACGCTGCCGAGGGGGCCGCTTTCCCCGCGGGGTGGGCGGGGCACGGGGGTCGCTCTTGTTTGTCGTCCTGCCTGGCGGTGCTGGTGACGCGCAGCCAGCCCTGGAACTCGGGCCGAGGGGTTCCGCCAAGCAGGCGAAATTGGACTTGGTCCAGCCAGTACACCTCGACCGTTGCTCCGACCCTCCCCCCCCTCCTTTGCCCTTGAGGCGGAGGAGTGCCTCGGTTTGTCGTTCGTGTTATAAGGCCTGACCATTCCATATTTCTCATTCCATATCACAGCGCCTCGAGCTTCATAGAAAGTATCGAGCCCGCCGACAGACAGGACAACAGCCGTGATAGCACTTCAGTCTCAGCCAGTGGGGCGAGACACAACACCTAAGCGGCATCCTCACTAGACGGAGGCATTGATCTCGGCACCCGTCCCACTCCTCCCACCTCGACCTCAGCAGCGAAAGGGAGTGGGGACGGGACGCCATCGAGAACTTCAAGGCCGCTCGCTTCTTTTTGTTGCCCTTCTCGTCTCTACTTGTGGTTGGGGGTGCAGGGGAGCGGGGAGTGGGTGGGCGGGCTCTCAGCGGCGAGGGGTGAGCCCACAGAGTGGGCAGTTCCCCATCGCCTGCTTAGAGCTCCTCTTCTTTTCCGAGGCAGGGTCCCCCTGCTAGCGGCGCACTGAACCCACCAGGACAGCCTGGGGGCCAGGCGCGCCAGGCGGCCCTCGAGCCATACGGTCTTAGGGCTTGCATCCACATCCCACCCAGGGGTCGGCATGCCTTTTCGGTAGGCGCTGACGTTCAGACCCCCAAGGGTCTTATCCTCCTCCTCCTCCTCCTCCTCCTCCTCCTCCTCGTCATCCTCCTCCTCCTCCTCCTCCTCCTCATCATCATCATCATCATCATCGTCATCATCATTATCCCTCTGGCCACTCCTCCCATTACTTCTCCACGTCCTCCTCCTCCTCCTGCTCTTCTGGGGGGACACAACAAGATACTGACACCGCCTACGCACTCCCAGCATCTCTCCCGAGGCGAATCTAGCAGTAGCGACGAGGGCCCCCTCCCAAGGGCACCCAAAAGAGCGAAAAACGATGGCAAGGTGCCCGGTATCAGTACGTGCTTGTCCTCAGGCCCCCCCAACATCTACGTCCCGCTCCTCCTCAGATGGAGTCGTTGCGCGGCGAGCAACACCCGCTCCCGCGGCATCTGCGAGGCAAGAGGCGACAACACCCCTGGAAAGGCAATGGGTTGCGTACGGACAGCCTCTCTAAAGTAGTCCTGGCTAGCCTCAAAGAGGCCCCACGAGCTGTTCGGGGCGGTCTCAACATCCTGGCGCCGCCTCCGGCGGCGCCCAAAGGACGCCCCACGTCCCAAGGTTGCGGTGTAAAGACCACCCGGGATTACTCGAGGGGCCTGTCGAAGACTACATGGGAAGGCTGTCTGTGGGCAACCCGAATGCTGCAAACACCCCCCCCCCGCAGCGTCCGTGAGCGGGAACATCTTGTAGCCGCCCCTGAGGTAATCGGCCTGGGGCGAAGCGGAGCAGCCACGCCCGCCCCGAGGGCTCTCCGCTGGACGGACGGCAGAAATGGAGGCAGGGCGAGGCGGCGGCGGCAGGCGCTGAGCGCAAGGCACAAGACGACGGGCGACGGCCGACGGGCGACGGGCGACGAGCGGCGGGCGGTGGGCGACGGACGACGGACGACGGACGACGGACGACGGACGACGGAAGACGGACGACGGACGACGGACGACAGACGACATCCGACGGCCGACGGACGACGACGACGACGACGACGACGACGACGACGACGACGACGACGACGACGACGGCGAGGACGACGACGTCTTCATCTGCAACGAATCTTCGGAGATCGAGGTCCCCCCCCGAAGGCCCTACCAGGCCTCCAGAAGCCAACCCCCCAAAACAGTTCAAAATTATTTACAACAGGTTTCAAACATCTGCATCAACAATGATTTGAAGACGCTTCGTCACCTGATCGCGTGTCACTCAACATGTATATCCCAAATCCTCGATACCCACCCACCCCCTTCGTCTTCGATCGTACCCTTCGTTGGGGGCTCATCTTCCGTACCTGCCACGTGTAGTTGCCCCAGCCGCAAAAACAGGGGAGGGAAGGGACAAGGGGGAAACTGACAAGGATGGACCACTACAGATATTAACAGGAAAGGGGTTAGAAACAGAAAGACGAATGGTACAACCATACGGGTGGGTCAAGCTGGCGAACCCTACTGGGCGGGTCGGGAGGGCGTGCCCAAACGGCGAGGTCGAGCGGGCGAGTCGCTGAAGAGTCAGTCCTGCATGAATCGCGAGGAACTTCGAGCGATAGCGCGATTCCCGAGCGAGAGCGTGATTCCTGAGTGTTGGGGGCGCGGCGATTCAATATTCTGCGAGGAAATGCTATCGCGCGACTCGATACTAAATTGCAAGGAGCTCCAGCACGAGAGCGCGATGATTAACCAATTATCAGGAAATCGCGCTCTCACGCGGAACTTCTTTACAATGTATGCAGAAATCGCGCTCTCGCGTGGGACTTCCTCACAATTTATTCAGACGCAGCGCCCTCGACATGCAGGAGTCACGCGCTCTCGCTGTGGATTTCCCCACGATTGATTTGGGAATCGAGCTGTCGCTCGAGACTTCCTCGCGATTCATGCAGCACGCACGCTTCGGCAACCCGCCTGCCTGACCTGGCCGCCTGGGCCCTCCTTCCCGACCCGCTTGGTAGGGTCTACCCGCCCGATCTGCCCGTTTGGTTCTATCACGTGTTTTCTGTTCCTAGCCCCCTTCCTGCTATTCACTCTCGTGCTCCATCCTCCTCCCTCCCCCTTGTCCCTTCCTTCCATCCGCCCTCTGTTCCCCTGCCCCAGTGGCTGCGCGACATACACGTTGCAGACAAGAAAAGTATACCCCCCAGGGAATACGGTCGAAAACGAAGAGGGCGGAGATCGAGGGTTTGAGATATACGTGTTGAATGGCAAGCGAACAGATAAGAGTGAGTGTTATTGTTGTCTTGTTGCAAGCTGGGGGCCAACAACATAGCCTGAGCCCCAAGACTTCCCTATGCAAAAACAAGGTGCGAGCCCAAGACGGAGCACCCGAAGGGAAAAAACTATGGGCACCGGGGAGGGGGATCAACATTAATCCCACCAGCCCTTTGGGCGACAGGTGGTCAAATGAGGGTCTTTTTCCTCTTCCACAACCCCTCTTCCCTCTGGGGAAGGGAACCCTCCCCCTCCCCTCCCTGAGGTTTTTTGGGAGGGGCCGCGAGGTGTCAGAGGGTCGTTTTTTCGGCCCCTAGGAGGGCCAATCTTTGACACCCCTCACGAGGATCGTGGCGCCCGAGGGGGGCGACAAACATCGAGCACCCCCCTCTTTTGACCGACCGCCTCCGAGATGGCCCCAAGAGGCCATCCATGACTCCCAAGAGGCCCCCAAGAAGGTCCCACGAGCGCCCCAAAAGGCCCCCGAGAGGCCCCCGAGAGGCCACCAAGCGGCCTCAGAGAGCCAGAGATGACCTCCAAGATGGCTTCAGATATTCCAATCTGGCTCAAGATGGCCCCAAAATGCCCCAAGAGGCCCCAACACCGCTCCAACACGGCTTAAAATGGCCACGGATCCTCCCCAGGAGGCCGCCAAGTCGGGATGCCCCCCCCCCCCCCCCCGAGACGCGTGCGAATTAAGGGCAGCGCACAGTGACGTAAGAGGTAGAGCTATACAGGTGTTGCCACCGGCCAGGCCTGCACCATCGTGCACACCCCGAGCCCTCGACGCCCGCCCTCCTTGATTGTTAACAAATGTTGCACCACCCCCCTCCTAGGCCGCTTCCTTGCTTCATGCCAACACCCCGGGTAAATCCCGACAGGGAATCAAAAGCATACCGGGCGGGCGGAACCTGAACAGGCGGGCGGACCCTGACGGCCGGACAGGGCGGGCAGACCCTGGCGGGTTGGGGGCGGACCCTGACGGGCGGACACGGCGAGCGGGCCCTGGCGGGCGGGGCATTAAATCGCGAGTGGGGATTTCTCAAACTCGAGTTGGATTTCTAAGTAAGTCGTGAAAACTCCTGGGCGAGAGCACGGCTCCAGAGCGGCGACAGTGCATATCCTGAGTACTTCTGTATGTGTCTATGTATATATATACACATATGTATAGCGTGGACCAACAGCTGTGTTTCTAGCAATATATGTTGTGCAACCTATGTAGTGCAACATTTGTGGAGCAATATAAGAAGTGCAATGTTCGTGGTACAATATATGTGTTGTGCAGTAGATGTGCTGCAAGATTTGTGGTGCAATCTACGTGGTGCAACATATGTGGTGCAATTCATGTGTGGAACATGCAGTTGTCAACTCCACTGCTCGCGCAATCATCCCACCCAACCACACACAACTTGTCTTACAAAACACATGTGGCGGTGATTGCGATGAGTGTTTGCTGTTAACTGGTGCATCTCTGCGGCCGCGCTAGCCCGATCATGCTCGTGTCCCAAGAGCGCTCCAAGTGGGTTCCTTCCTTTGTGCGCTGCCCACTTCCCTGATCGAGGCAACTCCTCTGGGCATCGTTTCTGGATGAGCTGGTGGGCTTACACGGGCGTCAAGAAGTTCTAAGAAGTGAGAAAACAACGATTCAACCTTAACACGTGAAAACTCCACCAACAACGGCGGCGGCGGCGCCTCCAGAGACAACAACGATTGGCGATAGGGGAGACTGGCTCAGGAGGGGAACATCGACAAGAAATCGACGATAGAGCGGCCACAGGTCCACGATAGCAAAACCGGACCTTCCTGGGCGGGGTGAGCTATCGGGCTCCTACCTCAAGGAACAAAACCCGACATTAACCTAAGCTTTCTGATCTCCGGAAATGGTGTGCATGGCGCACTTCCTTCTTTTACTATCGGCAATGAATGGCGATTGCGGGCCAATGCATCCCCCTGAGCTCATGTCCCCCTACCCTAGATTTCGTAATAAAAGCGAGGGGGTCTGGACCCTCCAAGACAAGCCATTTCAGACCTCCCCCGTGGGAGAACCCTCCAAAACATCGTCCCCAGACCCCCCAGGCCCTCCAAGATAGCCTGGAAGAGACCCCCCCGAAATGAGACCCCCCTCCCTTTATTACGAAATCTGGAGTCACGTTGCCCCTGATCAGGGATCAAAAATCAATCCCTGGACCTCTCCCAGGGTGCGATCCGACCAGAAAATGTCGAGGCGAGTGCAGCCGCGACCACAAGGGTTTGGGTCGTTTTGGGGGGAAAGCCAGTCCCTGGCGAAACTCGGGCTTTCGAAATATGGGCTCACAGGTGCGAGGGTCAGCGAGTCGAGGTTCGGGTTCTCGAGGCGTTGGCTCCTCCGGGGGTGCCCCTTGTGGCCGCGGCTGCACTCGCCTCGACGTTTTCTGGTCGGATCGCACCCGGGGAGAGGTCCGGGGATGAATTTTTGATCCCTGAGCAGGGGCAACGTTAGGGCCTCCTCCTCCTCCTCCGCCTATTCCTCCTCCTCCTCCTCCTCGTCCTCCCCCCCTCCTCCTCCTCCCTCCTCCTCCTCCCTCCTCCTCCCCTCCTCCTTCCTCCCCCTCCTCCTCCCAGGGATTGATTTTTGATCTCTGAGCAGGGGCAACGTGACTCCAGATTTCGTAATAAAGGGAGGGGGGTCTCATTTCGGGGGGGGGTCTCTTCCAGGCTATCTTGGAGGGCCTGGGGGGGTCTGGGGACGATGTTTTGGAGGGTTCTCCCACGGGGGAGGTCTGAAATAGCTTGTCTTGAGGGTCCAGACCCCCTCCCTTTTATTACGAAATCTGGAGTATCTTTAGAAAGCCCGAGTTTCGCTAGGGACTGGTTTATCCCCAGAACGACCCAAACCCGTCCGAAACCATCCCAGAACCCTCTGAAAAGCCGACCGGCACCCCACCCGACCAGCTACCAGCATCAACATGCGACCAAACCCCTTGGACACCGACGCCGGATCACGAGCACTTCCCCCATACGCCCTCCCCTCCATCTCAAAACGCCGCCTTCGACAACGCTCCCTGCGGGTTCTGGCCCGCTCGCGCTGGACTTATGGGCCCCGCCCCCTCGGCGGACACTGGCGCGCTCGACACGCCTCCCACCCCCCCGAGCCTGTGGCAGGTTCGTGCGGCGTCAGCGCGCGCAAAGGTTTTAGACGCCGCGTCCGTGGTTCAACCTTGCATCGATCGCGGCCCCCCGATCGTTCAAGGCTGAAAATCAATCGGGTCTGGTGGCGTCACCGTGTCCCTCGGTGGTCCCGCGTCGCGGAATCCGAACCTGAACGCCTTCGCCGGCGTCGCCGTCGCGGCATCGCCGCGAGAACCTGCCGCATCTCCCCCCGACGCTGCCCCTCACGACAGGAGCGCGCGTGTCCCGCGGCGGGCTCTTTCGGCCGCGGCCGTCGGCGCGGCGCCGCCGCCGCCGGCCGGGCCCGCGCCGCCGCGCGCCGCAGGGGCCGGGCCGGGCGGGGGGTCGCTCCGCTGCGGCGCGGGAGCCGCGGGGCCCAGCGGCAGGCGGTGGAACCTGGCTTCATTGGCGGTCAGCGGTCAGCCCGGAGGGGGGGTACACGCCGGTCGGAAGGAGTAGGTACAAGCATGAAGTAGGAGGGCGGGTGGAGTAGGCTGGGTTCGGGCCCTCCCAGAGAAGAGCAGCACGCAACAAGAGCAGATCGGTTCTTGAAGTAGGAAGGCGCCTAAAGTAGATACGGGATCTGGGAATCCAGAAACTCCTACATTCAACGACCGGCGTGTAAGTGAGAGATGGCGGGCCTCCTCTAGGATCAACGATCGAAAACGGGTGTTACGCTAGACTGCACAGCGACCTTGAGCCGCAGCTTACGCGGGCCGCTAGCGCAGCGCGCTACATTGGAGACGAGGGTGCTCACGAGCGACCTTACGCGGGCAGCTTGCGCGCCAATGTCGCCGAAGACGAAACGTTTTTTAGCGTCGCTCAAATGGGGCTCGCAGGTCCTCCGGCTTTCTGAAAAGTTTCCTGAGCCTTCCCCTCCGTAGCCATTTTGGCTCAGGCCATTTTGGCTCAAGTCGGCTTCGCGCGCGCGAGCGGGGTGCTTGGGATGGCGCGGGCTGGGTCGCCGCTTGGTGATCCATGTGATGTTCGGAGGCGCACACGGGCAGAACGCTCTGCTGCTCGGCGCAGGGCGCTGGCGTCGGCCGATTTAGGGCTGACCGCGGCCAGAGATGAGGTGAAGCGGCTGGAAGCAGAGTTGCTCACAATGCGTCACCGTTTCGCCGAGGCCTTTAAAGCTATTGAAGATCTGTCTGGCGGCACTTCCGAGCTGGCGGACACGCTGCTGGCATTAGTGCCGTTCATGCGGAAGGTACTTGCAGGTGAGCCTCCTGAGCACACTGACAGGCTTCGGAGGAATACTGCATTGCATGCTGATGGTGAAGGTCTAAATTTCGTGGACGCCTCGCTGGATGAGCTCAAGCACGCCCAGCACGGCCCACGACTGGAGGCACGTGTCCACGCAAGCACTTCTCAAACAGCTGCTCGCTCCTCGAGCTGCATCGCCGATGCATCGGCGTCGTGGCGCGATCTTCCGACCCCCTCTACTCCGACCCCGCCTAGGAGGCCTAGAATGAACATCGTTTATCCGATCCCTATCCCCAGCGGCGTGGCCTGGGCCCCACTTGCCGATTTACCCCCCCAAATGGGGATACAGGCCGTTCACTTCGGGTTCCGAAGGATGTATCCCCAACTGGGGGGGTAATGTGGTGGGGATCTCGAAGGGGATGGGGATGGGGATGGGGGTCGGTTCAACGATACTGATGGAAACATCGGCGCGGGGATGTGCTTCAAGCCGGTGATCGCTGACAGATCGTGGCGGCGGGCGGTCCCGTGCGGTCGGCCTCGGGAGGCCGCCGTGGTCGCCCATCGGGACGAGCGGCCAACGACTCGGGGCGAGAAGCCGGCCCGGGCCGAGGGGTCGGAGCCCCGGAGCGCGAGAGGCCAGGGCTCGGGTCGTGAGCGCGAGCCCCGTCGCTGGAGAGGCAGAGGCCCCACGGGAGATGCCCAAGCAGGAGGAGAATCAGGGTGGAGGGCCCAAGAACGAACAAAAACGTGAGGGCCCCCCTCCAAAGCAAGGGCTGTTCTTAACATGCGTGCCATCTGTGAGGTAAAAAGAAGGTGGGCAATACCCTTCGGCGTCTACGCTGAGGCAACTTCGGCGTCAATCGACCGGCATAATCGGATGCGCAAGGAGGGGCCGCAGAGGCACGGGTGCAACAGCTGCTCTACGGACGAGCGCTGGAAATGTGTGAGCGCTCCGCTGGGGAGCTCAACCGTGCCCGTAAAGGCATGACGTGGAGGCTGTAGCCTCAGCAAGTTCACTGGGGGGATGCAGTTGCAGTGCAGTGCGACAATGACGCAAGATGCAGCGGATGCCACGGTAGCCTTGGTGGTGTACCGCGTCCTGGCTAGGTCTTCGTGGTAGAGCGATCGAGGTTGCCAGACCCTATCGCGCCGCGAAAGAGCACGACGGAGGGCTTTGGGCCTACTGGGCCTCGGGGCCGTCAGATACATGACTCGGGAGATAAAGCCCGGATCATCGAACCCCGATCCTCGAGGAGGGGGTCGCCGAACTAGAGCTCTGACCTCCCAGCCCGTTCAGAGTCCGAGCCCGCTCGGCCGCGGATCCGGCGGCCGCTGGACGGGCTCGACTCTCAGGGAGCGCAGCAGGAACGATGGCCCACTCGGCAGCCGGATGGGCCAAAGTCCCAAGTCCACTCGGCAGCCGAACGGGCTCAGACGCCGAACGGGCTCAGACTGTGGGCACGAGGGAAAAGGGTCCTGGCGGAAATGGGTCCTGAGCCCCTGGGCCAGGGGCCAGGGGTCAGGGTCGCAGCATGCGCCGGAGCGCGCCGTGCGCGGGCTGCTGCGCGCGCGACATCGCAAGCCCCACTGCTGCCGCCACCCATTCTTGAAGATTCTCGCACGCGCCTTTCTTTCTAATTCTCCCGGGCATCGGGGCCTTCCCCCAAGACCAGATGTCCTCCCCGAGCAGTCGATATTGACAACCCGGGCCAGAACCTGGGACCTGGGGCGGGCCCCGAGCTTGCAAAACAGCCAACCAAAACTCGGGGGCCCGTGCGCCTTTATCCCGACGTTCGCGCAGTTTTTGTCGCGGGCTTCGGGGGGACAAAGAAGCGGCCCAAAGATCTGTCCTGGGGGTGTGTTCTGGCCATAATTCCGAGGCGAGCACAGCTGCGGCGACGAGAAGCCTCCCAGAAGACCGAAACCGCAAAGACGCAAACAACAGCAACAGCAACAACAACAACAACCATAACAACAATAATAACAACAACAATAACAATAACAATAACAATAACAACATCAACAACAACAACAACAACAGCAACAATAACAACAACAACAACAACAACAACAACAACAACAACAACAACAACAACAACAACAACAACAACAACAACAACAACAACACTATCAATAGCAATAACAACAACAACAACAGCAACAACAACAACAACAACTAGAACCACAACAGCAACAACAACACGTATCATAACACCTCGAATCACGACGTGGCATGCCCTGAAAGGGTACGAAAACAATGGGGCACGATGCCCGACAGCAAACGCTATCCAAAACCCGCAGCGGCCGCTGTTGGGCAAACGACTCTTCTATGCCAAACTGAAACACCGTCCGCGGCGACACCAACAGCGAGTCCTGCTCGAGATTGGCAGGAGCTGCTGTCAGTCTTCGCCCCCAATCGTTCCGTCCCCGCGTCGGCCCCCCAACCAACCCCCCTGACATCCGCCGGCCTGCTTTTCCCAACTGAAGGCCTCAAAGATCCCCCTGGAGACCGATCGGGCGTGCACGAACCCAGCTCAGCGCAAAACCAGCTCAAAATTTATGAAGGGGCCCTGGGACACCCAAATAAATACACACAACTAACAGGATGCCCCATCGTTTCCCATGTTTTTCTGGGTTTTTGTCTTCCCCCCACTTCCCATATTTTCCCATATTTTCTAGAGAATCGACGATTCAGTGTGTCTGTATGTTTGTTCCCTCCTGAGTAAGGCACCTCCAGGGGCGCGAGCGGCTCCCATACCGGGATCGTGAGCCCCGCGACGTACGCCCCAGGCCGAAATCGCTGGAAAACGCCGAGATCTGGGAGGTCGGGGAGGTCTGGGAGCCGAAATCGAAGGAAAAAAAACAGCTTGACAAAATCAGACCGTTTAGCATGGGGGCAACGGGTCCTGAGAGAAGCCAGCCCTGGACCCTGGGGCCTTCCCTCAGGGCGAGACCTCTCCATCCTGACTCTTTCTCTGACAAGTCCTGGGCCTGTGGATGCCCCCGACAAGCCCGAAATGGCACAAAAGAAAAGCGCAGGACCCGTTTCCCTCGGCTCGGGACCCGCTTCCCCCAAAATGGCAATCCGAGGGGAAAAACAATGACATAAACATAAAAACTCGGAGGTCCACGCGGATCTCTCGGATCGGCGCTGGGGCCCCCTCCATGGCGCGCGGAGCGCGCCAGGGGCGTCGCTGGAGGCGCCGCCAGGGGGGCTCTGGCGCGGGTCTAAGAAATCCGCGCGGAACGCCAAAAGCTTATGTTTATGTCATTGCTCGTTTCCCCGAAGATGGCGAACCCTCGAAGCTCTGGGAGCCGATCCGCGATCGCCGCGCCCGACGGGCCCGGCGCAGGAACCCCCCGCGGCCGCCGTGCTCCGTCCCGTCGCGGGCCGCGGGCGGCGCGCCGTCGCCCGCGGCGCCCGCTCCGCCTCGCCACGGGCGAGGAGGAGGAGGAGGAGGAGGAGGAGGAGGAGGAGGGGAGGAGGAGGAGGAGGAGGAGGAGGAGGAGGAGGAAGAGGAGGAGGAGGAGGAGGAGGAGGAGGAAGAGGAGGAGGAGGAGGAGGAGGAGCGGCCAAGGCAACAGAGCCACCAACAGCTGCCACAGAACTGCAGACAAAGGTGCCAACAAAATGCACACCAACTCCGTCATCCTCCGTCCTCATCGTGGTCCTAGTCGCCACTGCAAAGCTCACGAAAGAGCCAGACCGACCCATGGCGCAAGCAGGTACTCTCGCAACATCCGAGGTTCCTCCCGCTTACCGCCCGAGGGCCCGCGGAGCCGCCAGCAGCTGCCACACAACTGGAAACGAAAATGCCCACGACATGCTCCAGGCAGACCCTGAGACCCGCGAAGGCCAAGCGGATCCTCGGTCCGTCCTCCTGACCGATGCAACAGAGCCATCAAGAACTGCCACACAAGTGCTGACGAACGTGCCACCTGAATACACCAGGCAGACCCAGAGACCCGCGAAGGCCAACCTGCCATGGGAACACCAACGCGCGGATCCTCTGCCTGCGCAAGTAAAGGAGCGCTGTCCTGGGAGCGTGGCCGAAACTCGGGCCCAATGCTGCCGTGGTAAAGCTCCGTGAGTCACCACGGAAACTTGCACGCCGACAGCTGCCACATCAACAACGAGACGACGAAACGCCCTGGTCACGCAAAAAGGCCAGGCTGAACAAGCTAGCACCTGTGTTGGACGAGGCCCTGGGAGGCGCTGACACGGCAGATGGAGGGAAGAGGGACGAGGAAGGGAGGAGGACGGAGCGGAATCCGAACCAGATTCCAGCTCATGGAGTTCCGATCTGCTCCATCCGCCTTGCTTAAACGACTGCTGCCGATCTGGTTGGAACTCTGAGGGATCCCACTTAGACCAACCACTGTGCCACGTGCCAGAGCTCTCAGCTCGCGGGACGGAGCGGAAGGTGCTAGAGCTCTCAGCTCGCGGAACGGAGCGTAAGGAAAGGGAGCAGAACTGCTGCAGACGAAGAAGAAACTGCATAAACGTAGACTTTCAAAATAAGAAGAAGAAGAAGAAGAAGAAAGGAAGGGTGCAGAAGAAGAAAAAGAAGAAGGGAAAGGTGCAGCAGAAGAAGAAGAAACTGCATGAACGTAGGCTTTCGAACATCCGCGCCTGGATCGGCGCCGGACCCCCTTCCCTGGCGCACGGAGTGCGCTGGGGGGGGCGGCGGCGGAGGAGGCGCCGCCAGGGCAGGCCTGGCGCCGACCCAAGAAAAACTCCGTCTGCCTCTGTCTAGAAAGGGGGCCTCGGCCACGAATAGAGAACTACCCAAAAACTAGAGCCCCTCCTGAGCCCCGGAACGGTCCTTGCTTGAGCGTCTTGACTGTGAAGACATGATGCGGGATGTTAAGTTTCGACTGCTCCGCTGGGCCTGCGCACGGCAGCCGCAGCAGCGTGAGCAGGTCGGCGACCACCGCGGCCTTCACGCCGTGGTCAGCCGCGTAGCAGATCCCGCCGCCAGGGCCGCTGCTGGAGAGGTCCGGCTGTGAGTTGACCTCTGGCAGAGGGTCGTCGTCCTCCCCATCCCTCCTCGTCCTCATCCTCCCCGTCCTCATCCCTCCTCTGCTCCTCGCAGGAGGATGCAAGGTAGGTACTGTTCACGACGAGGCTCTCGACTGAATGGCAGGCCCATGGGGCACTGGTCTTTCAAGGGGGCGCTTCTTGAAGCGGAAAAGGAACGGACTTTGGGACGGGGCGGTGTATTGCGGGCCTCTAAAGGAGCCCTCGTCGCCACAGCTGGATTCCCCTTGATTTTCTGGCCAGGACACAGAACACAAACCCCTTGGCCGGTGGCTGGGTGTTGGCCCCAAAGCCCAGACATCTGGCGGATCGAGAAAACTTAGAGGGCCAGCGTTTCGCCGATTGGGGCCTTGCCGAGCCCGTATCGGGCCCCAGAGCCGTCAAAAACGGCTGGGGATGAAAGGCCGGCCCCAGGGAGGAAAGGGTCGAGAGATCTTGGGGCTAATGACTCAGCCGCCAGATGTCTAAGAGTGTCAAGGATCAGTTTGTGGACGCCTTTGATCCTTTAGGATCTGTTTGAGGCGTCCAGGGTCCTCCGCAGACCTCCAGGGGCCTCTGGAGAACTCTGTAGGCATCTCTGGGGAGTCGAGGCGCTTGAAGTATCCAGTATCCAGTATGCAGTATGCAAGGATCTCGATGTGTCTCAGCATCGTTGGACCTATGCCCCTACAGTCGACCTGTATAAGATGAGAATGTAAGGGCCTTTGAAGGCCACGTCGACACTCTGCGAGCGGGGCGCGGCCAGCAAAAGCGGCCAAGGATGGGCCGAAGGGAGAGGATGCAAGTGTGACGTTGGGAAGTTGCTCATCCTTACTATGTGGGTTGACTGTATACCTGTCCCCACTGCGGAAGCATTGGCCCCGCTAGCCCAAGTTTTCCAAGCTGTGGGATGTTGGAGCATCTACCTCCAACATTGGGTCGGAGCAGATGGGGCAGGAGGATCGCGCCGCATCGCTGATACATCCGCACCGTCGGCGTGGAGAAGATCGGGCTGCACAACGAGCCGCACCGCCGATGCATCGGCCGTGCGGCGCGATCCTCCGGCCCCATCTGCTCGGGTAGGTGACCACATGTGAACCCTACCCCCACTCCCCACGATTTCCAAGGAGGGGTGGAGGTTCACTCCGCTCGGGAGCTCCCGAACGAAGTGAACCCCCGCCACCACTAAGATATCGTGGGGGGTGGGGTAGGGTTCACACATGTGGCCACCGATCGGGCCCCATCTGGGAGGCCTAGAACGTGTGCGCCGACCCCCGCCGAGATCCCCGGCTCACGGGCCGACCAGACGACGTGGACTGGGCTTCGAGCATTGCACGGCCGTAGGCCGCAGGCAGCCCTGCAGGGCGCGGCGGCTCGGCAACGACACCGCAGACGGCCGAGGAAGCCCGGACGAGCACGACCGACTCCGACGCAGCCGAACCGGCCAACCCATGGGACCCCTCGGAGACCCCCCCAGGCTGACCTTCGGGCCGCAGCTCGGGGCCTCCAGCGACCGCTCGGGACGATCCCGACGTCCCCAGCACGCTCCCGACGAGGCGCGCATCCTTCGGGCAGGAGGGCACCAACCACACACACCTGCACCGATCCTGGGCAAGCTCCTACCTGACCCAGGACCAGCGTGTACGCCCTCCTGGCCTGGGCAGGTCATTAGGCATACACCCTCCGCTCCCGGGCCCAGGATCGGCCTGGCCAGGGTCGGCGCAGGTGTGTACAGTGGAGACCCATGCCAAGGAACACCCTGCTTGCCTCCAGGGTGCCCTGCCTCCTTGGGCTTCGATGGCTTTGCGATGGACAGCGAGACGCTCCCACACGAAAAACAGATGGACGCCCTGGGGTCTCAGGGTCGGGTCTCCTGTGGTCGCGCTCCTACTGTGGCTGGCCCCCGTCCGAGGCCGAGCGGACCTCCAGCACCCACGGCCGCAGGCCCCTGTCCAGCAGCACGTCAAATCCGAGGAGCTCGAAGTCGAGCACCTCGCCGCCGGGCGGCCGCGCCCGAGGCGGAGCCGCCGGCGCGGCGGCCGCCAGCGTCCCCCAGACGGCGGCGCCGAGGTCACGCCATGCCCGGGAGGCGACCTCGGGCCCGCGGGTCTCGCGCAGGTAGGCGAGCAGGTCCTCCATCGGCGGCGAGCCCGGGGGGAAGTGCAGAGGGGGCAAGCCTTCCCAGAGGGCGGTGGGGTTTCTCCGAAGCCCTCGTGCTCTCTGATAGCGGATGAGTCGGAAGATTGCGCCACATCACCGATGCATCGCCGACGTCGGGGTGGAGAACGCTGGGCCCCACACCGAGCCGCGTCGCCATTGCATCAGCGATACGGCGCGACTCTCCGACCCCATCTGCTCGGAACTGATTTGGGAGGCCTGGAGGCAAGGGAAGCATAACCTGAAGGTTCGACCATGCTGGGGGGCTGAAGTGGCCCAGCACTGGTTCTGGCCAGCAAGCCGGAAGGTGGGAAGGAGCCCCCTCGTCGGCACGGCTGGACGCGGCTCACCAGAGTGGCAGGGTACTGACTTTGAACGGACTCGCTGTCGCCCCCCCTCTGGGACCATTAGGGGGCCACATGCGAACCCTACCCCTACCCCCTCAGAAATCGTGGGGTGTAAGGGTAGGGTTCGCATGTGGCCCCCTAACCATGTCTCTCGGGGCCCGTCCAGCGCAGATCCCCTGCCCGCTTCCACCCTGGAGGCCTGTTGCTCTCGGCTCTCCGACGCCGCCCTGATCGGCCTCGCCCAAACGGGGGCTGCAAGAGATGGCCGGGCCAGTCCGGTCGGGCTGACTGAAGCACCTGCTGCTGCGGCCGCGGCTACACGACCAGAGGTCGACTGAAACCCATCAGTTTGGACACGGAATGCTACGGCGAAAGAGATGGGGGTCCTCCAGGGAGCAGTTCCGGTGGCGCGCCCTCGCGTGCACGCCGGCGTCATGCGACCTCGGAGGGGAAAGCATGCCGACACCTAGAACTGCACAGGCCATTGGAACGACGAAAAGAAACAGCTTCTTCTGGAATAATACAATACTTCAAACGTCAGATGTCGAACCAAAATGAACCTGACACAATCCATGTTCCGACACGCTCGCGTGCACGTCGGTGCCAGCACCTTTTCCCGCGAGAGAAAGTATGTCCATGAACACGCCTGTTCCCCGTCCTGTTTTCATCCCCACCTCGGTAAACCAGGCGCGCTTGAGAAGGGGAGAAGCGATAGAGAGAGAGAGAGAGCGAGAGAGAACAAAAAGAGAGAGAGAGAGAGGGAGAGAAAGAGAGAGAGAGAGAGGAAAAAAGGAGAAAGAGAAGGAACCAACAAACAAAATATGACAAGTGCGGTGATGATGGCGAGGAAGATGACGATCGGGCGGCGCTGAGGCGGGCCCCCGCGGGAACACTTTCGCACACATCGGGTAGCGCTGATGAAGCGGGCCCCTCGCGTCTCGGCCGCACCTGCGTGGCTGGAAGCCCCATCCTTCTTGTTGCTATGAACGCGCACAGCCCGCGGCGAGCCCCTTGGCCAGAAGCCTGCGCGCCCATGCTGGCGTCGGCGCCGACCGACGCCTGCGCGGGCACGCGCCGCACCAACTCCTTAATCCGCGCCGTGAGCGCTGCGATTGTCTGGTCGTATTCTCGCGGGTCAGCAGGCCTGTTATGCGCGCGGCCTCCCGGAGCTCGATCCACCAGGACGAAATCAGCATGATGTGTCATCGGAAGTCAGGCTGAGGCCTGGTCGGTCCCTCTCGATGAGGCAGTGCATCGAGATCCTTCGCTTCAGGATCATGAATCGCCAGAGGGGCCGTGCCCACGACATCGCTCTGGTGGAAGAAAAATTCACAGCTCGCCGTGTTCTTAGAGGTGTCGCTCTTGCTCCCATCCAGCCGCAGCACTGTCTTGGTGGAGACCACGCGCGCGAGGGCCAAGAGCATCTGGTGGGACAACGGACACATCTTTCCATTGCGAAAAGCGGGTCCCAGCAGCCTCGTCGGAGACAGCATCGGAAGCTGTTCCGAAAGCAGAGGGTGCTGGGCATGCAACAGGCAAACTGCCTGAGACAACCCAACAGCCAGGACGCGAATCCTGGGGTGCCCTGACCATTGGCGCGCCCAAATGCTACGCCTGCTTTATCGCGGTGAGCATTAGACCACCAATATGGGCATGGTATGAGTGAGTCTGGCTCAGTATGAAAGGTGATGAGCGTGAGTTAGTCTGAGTGGGTGGCGACGAATGACAAACACTTTAGTTTCCGATCCATAACAGGGCCCGAACAGGCCGGTGAGATCCCCCCCTGGCGCCCACCCTGGGGGGTGCGAAAACAAGCTCCTCGCCCGCGACGTCCTCAAAATCTGCTGCAAAAGCAGACGATGTTGAGGCGACATCATCATCATCATCATCATCATCATCATCATCATCATCATCATCATCATCATCATCAGCATCATCATCATCATCAGCATCATCATCAGAGCAGCAGCATCATCATCATCATCATCATCATCAGCCTCATCATCATCATCATCATCAGCAGCATCAGCATCATCATCATCATCATCATCAGCAGCAGCAGCATCGTCATCATCATTATCATCGTCATCATCATGAGCAGCATCATCATCAGCCTCATCATCATCATCATCATCATCATCATCATCAGCATCATCATCATCATCATCCTCAGCAGCAGCAGCATCAAGAACATCATCATCATCAGCATCATCAGCAGCCGCATCATCACCACCACAACCATCATCATCATCAGCAGCACCATCATCGTCATCATCAACATTATCATCAGCAGTATAACCATCATCAGCAGCATAATCATCAGCAACAGCAGCATCACCACCACCACCACCATCAGCATCATCGTCAGCATGATCAGTATCGTCATCGTAAGCATCATCATCACCACCACCATCATCAGTACTCATCCTCATCATCATCAGCGTCATCATCAGCATCATCATCGTCATCACCACCATCATCATCAGCATCATCATCGTCGTCATCATCAATATCGTCATCATCGTCATCATAATCTGCATCAACACCAGCACATTCACCATCATCACCATCATCATCACAACCACCGTCATCAACATCATCATCAGCAGCAGCATCATCAGAATCGTCATCATCATCCTCATCATGATTATCATCACCATCATCATCACAATCAGCATCACCTCCATCATCCTCATCAGCATCATAATCGTAATCATCACCACGTTCGTCATCATCATCAGCATCATCGTCAGCATCACCATCATCAACATCTTCAGCATCACCATCCACATATCATAACCTGAGTAATGACCCTGAGTGTGACTATGAGTGGCACTGAGAAATGAGGAGGAGAAGGAAAAGGAGGTGGGTGTTCGTGCGTGCGTGCTCGGCGCGGTCGGAGTAACAACAAGGACACCATCCTTAGGGTGTGGGGAACAAATCCCAGGATTCCCCATATTTTCCGCAGTTTCTACATGTTCGTCTTCCCCTCCACTTCCTATATTCTTCATATGTCCTGGAGATCGGGGATGCTTGTATCTGTGTGTTTTTCCCTCCTGAAAGGAGGCCGTCGCCTGGGGCTCTTGGTCAAGAGATCTGGGGAGAGGACAGGGTGGCAGCGGCATCGCTATAGCCAACATGTCTCTACTGCTCGCGATAGCGCCCGATACTGGCCTCGCCACCTCCCCCCTGATGACGTCACGATTCGCGCCGGCGCCGTCATTCCCAGACGGCGCCGGCGCGAATCGTGGCGTCACCGGCCCTACACCCCAACCCCGGCAACGCCATTATTCGGCGGTGCGCCCGGGGAGGAAGTAAGAGGGGGCAGGCCTTCTCAGAAGGCGGCGGGGCTTCTCAGAAGCCCTCCGACCTTCTGAGAAGCCGTCGATGTATGTCTTCGGAGAAGGCTTAGAAACTTATCAGAAGGCCCGAGGCCTTCGAGTCTTCTGAGAAGGCCCGCCCCTTCTTCACTCCCCGCTGGGCTCGCCGCCGAGTCATAAAATATGGCCTCCTGTCTCTTTGATCCCCCTGCGGCCGGATGTAAGTAAGGTGCACGCGAGGGTCCTCCGCCGAGGCGGCGTCGGCGGTGAACGGAGCGGAGGCGTAGCGCACGAGCCCGCTGCGGTGCAGCGACGCCTCCAGCGGGTGGGGGCAGGTCACCAACGCGTATAGCCGCAGGTCCACCTTGAAGTGCTCCGGGGCTGGGCCCGGGGTGCCAGCAAGGGGGTGGGGCAGCGTCTGGCCGGGTGTTGCTGGAGGTGTCCCTGGCTCGAGAAGCCCACCACACCGTGACCAGCCCCGTCGCCCCCCCCCTGGTCCCGTCACGACTCGCGCCGCTGGTCACGGCCACTATTAGATCGACGTGGGGTACGAAACTGCTTCACGGTGTCGCCAAGATTTCCAAGGAGGCCCCCCCGCCCTGCAGAGCATCTCTCGCGAGAAGCTGGGGGCACCTTTTCTTTTCACGCCTGGAGGGGAGCACCTCACGACGGTGCCGCTGGAGAGCCTCCTCTTCCTGAAGGCGTCGGCAGGGCAGACTGCGACTTTCTTTTAAACAAGAAATCCCTCCCCTGCAAATGAAGAAATGAGGACCAGGGACCCTTGGCCCAGGGACACCTTAGCCCAGGGACACCTTGGCCCAAGGACACCTGTAGCAACCCCCGAGCAGGGGGTCGCAGATGCACGAGCTCACCACGCAGGGGCCCTCGGCCGAGCCCAGGGGATCGGCAGTGAAGCGCACGCCCCTCCCGCAGCCAGACCGCAGCGGCTTAACCACCCAGCGGCCCCCGCTCGACAGGCGCCGCCGGAGCTCCAGAGCCTCCTCTGGGAGCAGGAACGACTCAGGGGCGAGCGCCGTTGACGGGCACATTTTCCACCACAACTACCATATGTAGGAGGAGGGGAAGGAGGAGGAGGAGGAGGAGGAGGAGGAGGAGGAGGAGGAGGGAAGGAGGAGAAGGAGGAGGAGGAGGAGGAGTCCCGTCTCCCCCGTCCTACCTATGGTAGTGGTGGTGGAAAATTTGCCCATCAGCCGTAGCGCCCGCCTGCCGCAGAGTCCGCAGGAACTCGTGCTTGTGGGTGAGCGCGCAGCGGCCCCCGAAGCGGTTGACGCGTGTGCGCGGCCCGATGCCCGCGGAGGGCCGGGTCGCGGGGCCCACCCAGATCAGCGCCGGGGGGGGCTCGGCGTTCTGCGCCGGGGAGAAGCCCGCCTCCTCCAGGGTGCGCACCAGCAGCTCGAACTCGTGCTCAGGGAAATTCTTGCGCAGCAGCCTTTCTGGGGGCGGGAAAACTGGGAACGACGCCCACCAGCAGATGCCGTCCAGAGCGGACAGCGGCCCCTGTTGGGTTGGGCGGGCGGCGCTCGCCTCGAGCGGACAACGCCCGCGGCGGCACAGACAGCGAGCCCCCCCAGTTCTGAAATGGGCCGGACATGCTGCGTGCAGACGTCCTTACTCGTTCCGTCCCCACTTCGACCGCACCCGAAGCCTGTAGGTGAGCTCTGGAGGCGCGTCGGGAGGCGCCGGCCGCGGGCTCTCGTGCCTAGAGGCCTCCTTGATGGGGTCCGAGAAGGTGGGGTCGGAGGATCGCGCTGCATCGCCGATGCATCGGCGATGCATCCACGACGTTGGCGATGCACTGGCGCCATTGGCGTAGGAAAAATTTGGCCGTACGTCGAGCCACATCGCCGATGCATCGGTGACGCGGCGTGATCCTCCGACCCCACCTGCTCGGACCCCGTCTGGGAGGCCTAGAGTGCCGGAACTTGCAGCTAACCTCTCGAGGGCAGCGCCGGTGCTGCCGCCAGTGCCAGCAGAGCGGGGCGCGC